TAGAAAGTTAACTGGACAACCGTTCTAGAGGTAGAAGGCAGATTCACTGACCTCAGTCATGCTGAATGAAGATAAACGCACCCAATCATACCATGGTAGAAAGATGGGCACAGGCCAGTTCTAAATTTTCTTTCATGAAAAGATAAATCTTAACATATTCATTAACTATTAAACCATAAATTTACATTTTTTAAAAAAGCAAGTATAAACACGCTGAAGGAGAGAGGAAACCTGGTCTGGCGGACTTCACATGGCAAAAACGATCAGGCAACTTCGGAACCACAACTTCAATATAAGGTGTAAGGTTACGTCGCTAAGAGACAATTTACACAAAAGGAACATCAGGCCCAGCTCTCATCCTCGTTCCACCATGTACTGGGATTTAACTCCGAGGTCTTGGGTTCTCATTTGTAAATTGACAGGATAATTGTGGTATTTCCACTGCCTACCTCACAGGATTTTTGAAGGGAACAAAGAAGATTATAAACATAAAAGTGTTTTGAAAATCCAGGGTTTGTTCCCTCAAATCTGGCTGTTAGTATTACAAAGATGTTCCTACAAACAAGGGTAACCATCTTTAGGAGACATACTCCAAACTGATAATGAACAGATGTATCGCCTCCCACGGGGCTGAGCAGGACCTGGGGCCAGACCTTCCCTTTTACCCCCAGGTTCAAATCTTTTAGGAGAGTCTATGACTGTTAGCCGGTAATTTTTTTAATTTGTAAAAGCAAATGCAATCACTGACAAAATTAACATAGAACGCAGGACTTTCAAACTGGATTTTTCGGATTTACCTGGGGACTGTTAAAAAAACTGCGCTGTCCAGGCCTGACAAAGACTTAACTGACCAAAATCTCTGGGTAGCTAGCGATAAATAAGACCAGGCCATTTGTATTTTAAGACCCTCTCCAAGTGATTCTGGCAACGTGATTACTGCTTTTTTTTTTTTTCGGCCGCATCTTGGGGCATGCAGGATGTTAGTTCCCTAACCAGGGATCAAACCCATTATCCCTGCACTGGGAGCTCAGAGTCTTAACCACTGGACTCCAGGAAGTCCCAGTTACTGCTATTATTATTAAATTAACTCTTACCATGAATACATGACAGGAAGTCCATATACTTACTCAGTATACGCCAGTCACTATTCTTAGCATTTTACACATATTATCTCACTTCATCCTCACACAGCCCCTATAAGAAGATGCTGCTATTAACACGGCCTGCCCTTCACCCTCCTTTTGTAGATGAAATTAAAACACAAAGAGATGATCTAGCTGGCCCATGGCCCAAAGCCATAGGGCTAGGAAGTGGCAGAACCAGAAAGCTCACGTCTGAAAATCCTTGATACAGTTTCCCAGCCTAAGACAGTAACTGTATATTCTGGTCAGGTCATATCAAATTCTGCTTTATTTCATATATTGCATTTAAAGGACCATAACAAACAAGAGTTGTCTAAAGAGAGCACAGTGGTATCTGGTTTAGGTGATATCAGCTTAAACCAGGCAGGGACAAAGGGCCTAGGGCTGTTTTCATACTTCAGCATCACACGGAAGAATTTGTAACATTTTATCTGTCTCCTCCATTACACTGTGAGTGAGCCCTTGAAGTGTGAGACTCATGTATGTCTTTTCAGCTATATCCTTGTGGTTCCTGAAAGTGAAAGTCACTCAGTTGTGTCCAACTCTTTGTGACCCATGGACTATACAGTCCATGGAATTCTCCAGGCCAGAATGCTGGAGTGGGTAGCTGTTCCCTTCTCCTCAGATCTTCCCAACCCAGGGATCGAACCCAGGTCTCCCACATGGTAGGCGGATTCTTTACCAGCTGAGCCACCATGGAACTAAAGAAAGGGTTTAATAAATTAATCAATAAATCTAGAAAAGGCTTGATGACTGTCCTGGGAAATGAAAGACTATTTCACGGAAAAGAAACAGATTTGATTCATGTTGCTTCAGAGAGTACGAAGATCAACAGGCAAAGGGGAGGGGCAAAGTGAAGACAGTCTAGAATATCTTTCCAGCAATCAAGACCTGTCCAGAGACAGGAAAGCAGGTTGTGGTTTGAGGCTCAAGACCAGAATACATGCAGACAAAAGGCAGGATGTTGGGACTATGGGGCCTCTAAGAGCTCTTCCAAGGCTCCAATCCTTTTATTCTAAGTTAAGATACACTGGTTTATTCCTTCACACTTTCTACAGAGACTGGTTACACAAGGCCAGTAGTCCAAGCACAGAGGCTACTGCAAAGTCTTCTACAAACTCCCAGGACCCTCAAGGACCTAGAAGAATAAGTCACCAGAGGAACCTTCCCAGGAGGAAGGTAAGGGGTACAACAGGAATCAACAAGGGGCAAGGAGGCTTCCAGGCAAGAAACAGGAGAAAAGTCAACAGAAGTATCACAGAGAAATGCTGCCATCTGAACACATCTGAGCTACATCTTCAGGGATGCCTGCGAGAAAGCGGATCCCTAAAGATGCTGGTGGGAAGGAGGATTCTGTGGAGGTGCCATAAGAAACTCAGGAGCAGGCGCATTCAGCCTGGCAATACCGGTCTGAGCCCACGGGAGGTGGAGAAAGCCCTGCAGTGTGAAGACGTAGCTAACACTCAAGAATCTGTGGTGCTAAAAAGAAAAGGCCTTTAGAGGTCAGTTAACCAAACACACACACTCTTTATGGATGCTGACCTGGTTGCATTCAGTAAAGAAAGGTTAGTCTACTTTCTTAAATTACATTTTACAAACCAAAGACTGAATCATCAGTGATTCTGTTTTCAAACGTTATTTTCTGCTGTCTATTCTTTTCACTATTTAACAACCACACTTGCAATCATCAAAGTTGTTATCAAAACTCAGCTCTGAGCTTAATATGTTATCATCCGTTAAATGATTATAACATTTACCAATAGTACTATAAAATAAAAAGCATTATCCATCAATCTAAAAAGCTACTTTATAAGTAGAAGATTGTTAAGAATAAATGGAGTCTGAAAAAACTAATTTATGTCTCAGGTACAAAAAAACTATCTCACCCAACTTATAAACTGTGAGGTTGAGGTATCTAAAAAAGGCGGGGGGAGAAAATTAACAAAGGGTTAAAGGGAAAGAAATCTAAATCCCAAACCAGTGGACAAAACATAACACATGTGAACAATAAACTTAATGGTCTTCTGGCCATTCATGTCTCAACATCCCTGTCAAACTATTTTAAGGATCTGAAATCTTGCTCTATAAAAAGCAAGTTCCCATCATCTGAACTACACTCGAGATCCTATGGCAGTAGTTACTCAAACATAAAAAACCAAGCTTCATACTTTTGCTTCCTGTTAGTACAAAAAAATGTCTACCTCTTTCAGGTAAAGTTGAGCCTGTGGTCAAAATCTTGGCACTCCAAGAGATTGAGGTTTTCAGTTCTAACACTAATATAAGGTGCAAAGGCTTTTTCCCTATTCACTGCCACTTAGATGGTAAAATGGAGATAAAATAGTTGACAACTCTACCACCAACAGTCTCTTCAAAGGATTTCTGACTTTGGTTAACCTTAGTTGGGAGAATACAAAACTACAGCTGAAAACTCCTCAACAAAAACTACAACTTTAAAATCCTAAAACTTCTACATGTTAGCTGATAAGCTATGAATTTCAGAAACTGAGTGTTGAGTAACAATTGCTAAAAAAGGTGCAATTACACAATCTTACAAAGATGGATAAGAAAACAGCTCACCAAAATTTAAATTTCTTAACAAATGGAAAAGATAAGTAACTCTGGGACACTGTGATGTTATTTTTCTTATCTATGTGGTCTCCGCATCAATGTTACTATTCTCCACTCCCTTGACAAGCAAAAGGAGCCCAGTGTCCAGGATTTCTCTGACCAAGAGGACAGTAAATGTCACAATAACAGTGATAAAAGCAACAATTTCTAAAGCCATCATTTATACCAGATTCTGGCACCGGAACAGGGTGGAAGGCACAAGGCAGCAAGCAACTATTTCTCACTTCTGACTCTTCTGCATCACTGCCTCCCAAAGGACTAGAGAATCTAGAGCTCTGGAAGTCATATCTACAAATGAAAGTATCATGTTTAAAGGGCTCACAGGTTCGACAAATGGTCAGCATTAATGAACAAACCTCACGACACAGAAACTCACCCAGATGCAACAAAACATGTTTCAAGGCTCTACCTAATTTTTGTTTTTAATTCTAGGAATAAACACAAGTTGTGGCTGTTGTTGTTTTTAAATTATGTAATAAGTGAGACTCTGGAAAACCCCAGACTCATCCGAGCGGCTTGGAGAAACGAGAAAGCAAAATGTGATGAGTTCCATTGTACCCAACCAGGCAATCGTGCAAGACCACACACTCCTCTCCGTCAGAGCGTCCCTCCCAATACCGAAGAACAACAAAGGCAAGTTAAGGAGGCTGCACAAGGCTTAACTCAGCACTTGTCCGCTTTCCCAGCCTCCGAAGCAGCTAGCTGTGGGCCCGCGGACCTCCGGCACCCTGCGCATCCCGCCCGGCCCGCGCTCGGCTTTGTCTGGCCCGGCTGGACCCCTTCCCTCCCGATCTTTCTCCACACCCACCACTCGCCCAGGAGTAGTTGTGGGGGGTTTTCTCCCTTTCGCCCCCTCCCCTCGCAAGCCCCGGCTCTTTTCAAACGCGGCTTCTCCTACCAGGCCCGAGACTAGGGAGGGGAAGGGGGCCCGGGGTGGGGTCCGGGAGAGAAGAGAGAGGGGCACACAAAGCCAGGCTGACCCCAGAGCCACCCCCAACCCTCTGCAAAGCAGCGTGGGATCAGCGATCTGCGGGCTGGATAAACACTCCTCAGCTCCCGTTCCCCGCCCAGCTCCCACCCAAGGGCCGCCCCCTCCCCCCAAAGTGCACCCAAAAGCGGATGACAGCGCTGGACCTACCCCCCACCCAGCCTCGGCGCCCACCACCGCGAGGGGGGCAGGGGCCTGGGAGGCCTGGGGTCTACACACCCTCGCCCTAACCGAGCACTTACGGCCGTATTATCCGCTCCTGTTGCCGCTGCGGACCACACGGCCGCCGCCTTCTCCTCCACCCCAATGAGGTTAAGCGCTTGGTGCGGGGATTAAAAAAAAAAAAATTAGAAGCCCAGAGCGCCTGCGTAATGAGGTCTCCCTTTTTTCGCCTTACCGCCACGACCCGGCTGGACCATAGAGTGTGTAAACCGAGAGCAGAGAGGCGCCCGCTTCTCTATGGTAACGCCCGGCGCAGGCGCCGCCCTGGCTGCGACGGGATTCGGGACCTGCCAGTCTCTGGAGCTCTTGCCTCCTCGGAGAGCGTCAATTGGCCCTGATGGGGACCCGTAGGGAAAGGTTCTTTAAGAAAAGGGCGGCCAGGCAGGAGCTGGACCCCCGGCGAGCTGCGGCAAACCTCAGGCTAGGCAGAGAGGATTGAATCTAAGCGGCCATGGCAGTAGGGCACCAGAACGCAGGGAGCGTAGAGCTCAGGAGGAACCAGAAAGCTTGGGTAAAAGGCGTCCGGCCGGAATTTCCTCCGGTGGGGGCGAGGAGGTCTACTACCTGAGGGAACCGGCCTTTCACTTCTGGGTTACGCGCGTCGGCGCACGCTCTGGGCGTCCAGGGCGAAGGAAATTGTGCCTTGCGACGCTCCGTACCGAGGCTCCCCCTTCTCTCTTCGGGTAGGCGCGGGCGCTGGAGCCGGAAGCACAACTTTTTAACGGTTCTTTGCCCTCTTTGAAGCCGAGCCAGCCCTGTGGAAGCCTCGGAGACCCTGGAGACTTTCTTCCTTGTGTGCCTGCATAAAGCAGGCGGCTTCCATCCCCTCTCTCGCCTTTCTCTTGGAAGAAGCGTGGGAGCGTGTCTCGGAGGTTTAAAAGCTGTGCAAGTTACAGGGCTCCCCTTTAAGGGTCTCGAAGGGCCCACAGTTTTGCTGCGTCGGGCGCCTACCCTCACTTGTAGTTTGACATTGAAAGCTTTCGTGAGATTACACACTGCTCCGGGGAAGCCACTCAGAGTGTGAGTTGGCTTCCCTCCGTCTCGATTCTCGTATGCGGAGCTCCTGCTAGTGGGATGTGTCGACACCCGTGAGATCCTACCTGTGAAGGTCCAGGACTTAGATGATGTGCTTGGAGAGACTCGGTTAAGACAAGCCTTATGTAGACTCCTGTGGAGTGCAGGAAAGGGAGGGGACTGTGGGCTGAAGGAGTAGCGATGGCAAGTAGGAGGTGACTCCTGTTTAGATCTAGAAAGGAGGACATCTTTTGGAGAAAGCACAAGCGACCTTTTGAAAACCACTGGGTGATGATAAAAGAGCTTTCCAGAGAGGATAGCATGGGGCAAGGACCCAGGAGGCAGTGGACGTTTTACTGAGTGCAGTGAAGAAAGCAGCCTAACTGAGTTGGAAAAAAAAAAAAAGTGGAGAGTAATGTTGGTAACTAGGATGGGGAATGTTCAGTTTTTTTAATATTTCTGGCCCCACCACGTGGCGTGTGGGGTTTTAGCTCCTTGACCAGGGTAGAACCTGTGCCTCCTGCATTGACGCTCATATTTTTAACCACTGGATCGCCAGGGAGGTCCCAGGAATGTCTGACGTTTTATTTGGTAAAATATGACATGAAATTTACCATTCATTTTTAAGTGTATAGTTATGTACATTTACACTGCTGTGCTACCGTCTTCCGAATTCAACTGTAGGAAGCTGGAATTCTTTACCCTTTAAACAGCCCTGGCCCTACCCTGCCCCAGTCTCCGGCAACCACTCTTTTACTCTCTCTATAAATTTGCCTGTTCAGGTTCCTCATGTAATTGGAATCATGTTCCTTTTGTGACTGACTTATTACACTATTTCACTGAGCCTGAACCTGCTTTCATGTTGAAGCAGGTGTCAGAATTTCCCTCTCCACCCCACCCCCCCGCTTTTTTCCCCACATTATTCACTGTAATAATCTATAAATTCTTTGGGGTTCTTTTTTGACCACACAGCATTCAGGATCTTAACCAATAAGGAATGGCATTTCCTAACAGTGGAAGCACTGAGTCTTAACCACTGGACTGCCAGAGACATCCTAGAATTTCCTTGATTTTTAAAATTAAATACTATTCCATTGTATGTATGAGATATATATATATATATATATATTCCCAAAATGAACCCTTGGGTTACTTATACCTTTTGGCTACTGTGAATAATGCTGCTGTGAACAAAAGTGTACAAATATCTCTTTGAATTCTGCTTTCAATAGGATGGGGAATATTTTGAAACTGGGTAGAGAGATCTACATTGTTTTAGGTCCTCAACTAGGGGTAGTAACATTGTGAAAGAACTGTTTTAGAAAGTGACCCTGAGTGTGGCAGCTCAATACAGTCTCCATTTATAGGAAGCATTTCGGAAGCTTTAATATATGCTAGGCAGTGTACTGCCGCTTTCTGTAAATTATTGATATGTCATTGAATCCACAAAATAAACAGCCAGTTATTAACATTATTTTACAAGTGAGGAAACCAAGGTTCTGGGATACAGATGGGCTGAAGGGAAGCTCACCAGCCATACACACACTCAAGTGATCAGAAAACAAACTTCTACAGGAGCTGGGCACCCGTGGGCAGTGACTGTTCACTTCTTTGGGCAAGAATGCTGAAAACAATAATTTACATGTGAGACGGAGGTTCCACAGGAGAAAGCATAGGCTAACAGCAAGAGCTTCCACTCTCAAATTACTGATATGTAAAAGAGCTTAACACAGCAAACCTGCATCGTCCAAGTTTCCTAAAAGAACACTCGAGTTTTAGTCCAGGCCTACACATTGCTCTTAAAAAGTGTAAAATGCCAGGTAAGTATATCTTTGTCTATAGTAGAGAAAATAATGAGACACACCATTTCCAACTCAACACTTCATCTTTAACTTTTGCTTCCTCAAAAATCCTGTGAGGTCATTTGAAGCAATGAGCCCCATTTAGCAGATGAGTAAATAGAGGACCAGAAAGAAGAAATGATTTGCCCAGCGCCTAATGGCTGATTGGTACCAAGGCTGCAACTGAAACCTGAACCTGTAGAGCTCCCACTCTGCTCTGGGGGTTCTTATAGCAGTCGGAGTGGCCAGTCTGTTCAATTAGTTTCACCTTCCTCAGGGACACGGCCAAACTCCCAAGAAGCTAGTGTCAGTTAAACAAGGAGTCAGAGAATGTAAGTGCATTATAAACAGCATTAACACATCAGAAATACTCTGTACTGATTGTGTGCCAACCACTGAGCAAAGTAGGAAAAAATCTTTGTTTTTGGGAAGAGGAGATAGAAAGCAGAGTAGCAATAAATATATACTGAGCCAGGTAGAATAAATATGGAAAAACTGAAGCAGGAAATTAATAAGGGAGTGCTGAGAATAGGGAAAGGAATTTCTGTTTAAATAGCACAAGGGGGAGGGGCACTGGGAAGGACACGGCGAATGTGTGAAGGAGCTGAGAGAGCAAGCAGTGTCCTTTCCCTGGAGAAGGGCCTTCCAGGCAGAGGCCAGTGCCACAGTCCTTCTGAAAGGCCGGAGTGGCGGAAGCAGTGTGTGCGAGGGGAAGGTAGGAAATGAGGGCAGAGGTAAGAGAACGCCAAACTGTGGTGTTCAGGGCCTTCCGTCCAAACTGGATTTCAAGGGCAATGGAAGAGTTCTGCTTCAAGTGAGATGGGGAGCCACTGGTAGGCTTTAAGCAGAGGAGAAACATGATTTGACTTCCATTTTTTTATTCATTTTATTGAAGTACAGTTGATTTACAATTGTGTTAATTTCTGCTGTGTAGCAAAGTAAATCAATTATACATGTATATACATTCTTTTTCATATTTACCGTTATGATTTATCACAGGATATTGAATTAGTTCCCTGTGCTATACAACAGGACCTTGTTTATCGATTTCTGTTTTTATAGACTCACTTTAGCTTCTATTTTGAGAATAGATTGTAGGGGAGCAAGAGGGGGACAACTTAGGAGACTAGTAAAATACTACAAGTGAGAGGCAAGGTGACGTGGGAAAAGTCGAAGTAGTGGAAGGGTGAGGGGTCTGTGTGCACTCAGGCACATCGATTTGATGGCTCAGTTCTTGTAGGGAGTGAAAATAAGAGTCCAGAGTGACTCCCAAGATTTTTGGCCTGAGCAGTTTGAAGTTGTCATTTATTGAAATGGGGAAACAGAGGAACAAGTTGGGAATGAGAAAAGACAAGAAATTCAACTTTGAAGATGCATCTCAAATTAACACACAGAAATATCAAGAAGAAAGGTATGCATATGAATCCGGAATTCTGAAAAAAAAGGTGCAGGCTGGGCATGTTGTGGGAGATGTCAGCATTTAGAGAACATTAGAGCCATGAGATCATCTAGATAAGTATAAATTTGAAAAATTTATCTAAGAACTGAGCCATGGGGCTCTGTAGCATTTAGGGATCAAGATGGTCATGAAACTAGGAAAGGAAATAGAAAGCAGCAACTGAAATAAGAGAAAGAGCAACCTAGTCAGTAAGTCACCTTTGGAGAGGGGATTGGTGCCAGGATCCTTCTGGATGCTCAAGTCTCTTATTTTAGTAACAACATAGTATTTACATATAACCTACGTACATATCCTCCCTTTAAACCATCTCTGGACGACTTACATTACCTAATGCAATGTAAATGCTATGTAAATAGTTGCCAGAATATGGCAAAATCAGGTTTTGGCTTCTGGAACATTCTATAATTTTTTTTTAATATTTCTGATCTCTGGTTGGTTGAATCTGTAGATGCAAAACATGAGAATACAAAAGGATATCTGTACTCATGGGCTGTAATTGACTGTTGGCTACAGCTCTGCGGTGCTGAGGATGAAAGCCTGCTTGGAACTGGTTCAGAAGACAATGGTAGGGATAGAAATGGGAATGGGGGTCAATAGGTAATTTGGAGAAGGAGTTTAAGGTGGGGGGCAGAAAAGCGGGGTGATACTTAAAGTGATAGATAGGCTCAAAAGAGTTGTTTCTAATTATTTACACCCACAAATATTTTAGTATTGTAAAAAGACAGTTTTTTAATAAACATAACCTCAATGCCATTATCACACTTGAAAAATTAACCGTATGGTACATCCCTCGGTGTCCATGAGAGATTGGTTACAGACCCACAGCAGATAATAAAATCCGTAAATGAGTAAGTCTCACATTCAGCCCTCCAAATCCAGGGTTGCATATCCATGAATTTAACCAACCTCAGATCCATGTGTAAATGGATCCATGCAGTTCAACTGTAATAACTGGTATTATCACTACCCTGTCAATCTTCAGATTCCCCTAATTATCCCATAATTTTTCTTGCTACCATATGTATTGACATATGATTCATATTACATATAATTTACCCACTTAAAGTACACAGTTCGATAGTCTTCAGTACACTTAAAGAGATGTATAATCATCACCCCCCCCCGAAATCCCTATACTCATTAGCAGTCACTACCCAGTCGTAGACAACCACCAATCTACTTTTTATCTATAGATTTGCCTATTCTGGACATTTTATGTAAATGGAGTTGTACAATATTTGATTGACTTCTTTCACTTAGCATGTTTTGAAAATTCATCTATATTGTAATGTGTTACATTACCTCATTCCTTTTTATTGTCAAAATTCTATTATGTATGTATGCCACATTTTGCTTATCCATTCATTAGTTGGTAGACATTAGGTTGTTTCAAACCACTTTATACAAAATGGCATTCTGAACATTCTATTACAAGATTTTATTTGGACATGATATAAATCATAGCAATGTTTTCTTAAGTCAGTATCCCAAGGCAACAGAAATAAAAGCAAAAATAAGCAAATGGGACTTTATCGAACTTAAAAGCTTTTGCACAGCAAAGGAAACTAGAAACAAAATGAAGAGGCACCCTACAGAATGAGAGAAGATATTTGCAAACTATGTGACCGACAAGGGCTTAGTTTCCAAAACATGCAAATAGCTCATACAACGCAATAACAAACAACCCAACCATAAAACGGGCAGAAGTCCTAAGTAGACAGTTCTCCAAAATAAGCACACAGATCGCCAACATGCACATGAAAAGATGCCCAGTATTGCTAACTGTTAGAGAGATACAAATCAAAGCTACAATGAGGTACCACTTCACACTGGTCAGAATGACCCCATTAAACAGTCTACGAATAACGATGCTGGAGAGGGTGTGGAGAAAAAGGAAGCCTCCTACCCTGCTGGTGGGAATGTAAGTTGGTGCACTATGGAAAGCAGTGCTGAGATCCCTCAAAAACCTAAAACAGTGCTACCATATGATCCAGCAATCCCACTCCTGAGAATATACCTGAGGAAAACTAATGCAAAGAGATACATGCACCCCTATGTCTGTAGAAGCACTGTCCACAGTAGCCAAGACATGGGAACAATGTAAACATCCATAGACAGATAAATAGATAAAGATGTAGTGTGTATATGCATACAATGGAATACTATTCAGCCATAAAACAGAATGAAATTATGCCATTTGTAGCAATGTGGATGCAACTAGAGGTTATTATCCTAAGTGAAGTCAGAAAGATAAAGACAAATACCATATGGTATCACTTATATGTATAATATAAAATATGGGGCGTCACGGGTGGCTAGATAGTGAAGAATCTGCTTGCTAATGCAGGAGACCTCCGTTCGATCCCTGGTCTGGGGAGATGCTATGTGCCTCGGAGCAACTCAGCCTGAGCACAACTATTAAGCCTGTGCTCCAGAGTCTGGGAACTGCAGCTGTTGAGCCCACACACTGCCACGCTGAAGCTGAATCTCCCTAGAGCCCATGATTCACAACAGGAGGAGCCGCCACAGGGAGAAGCCCATGCACCATAACTAGGGAAGAGCCCCCTCACCACGACTACAGAAAGCCCCACGCAGGAACCAAGACTCAGCATGGCCAAAAAATATAGGCAGCACAAGTGAACTGAAACGGACGCATAGCTGTAGGGAACAGACTGTGGTTGCCAGAGGGCTGGGGGAGAGGGGTGGCCTGGGAGTTTGCGGTTGGTAGATGCAAACTACTATAGAATGGATTAACAACAGGGTCCTAACGTATAGCACAGGGAACTGTACTCAATACGCTGTGATAAACCATAATGGAAAAGAATATAAGAAAAGAATGTATACATGTGTATAACTGTGTAACACAGCTGTGTAACACAGGCTGGCACAGCACTGTAAATCAACTATACTTCATAATTCAATAAATCAATAAAATCATAAATCAATAAAAAGAAAACAATTGGCCATAAATATGTGGGTTTATTTCTGAACTGCAAATTCTACTCCACTGATATGTGTTCTTATGCCAATACTATACCATTTTGATTACTGTAGGTTTGTATTAAGTTCTTAAAATCAAGCAATGTAGGTCCTTCAACTTTATTTTTCTTTATGGATTGTTTTGGTATTTGGAGTTTCTTGAATTTCCATATAAATGTTGCTATCAGCCTGTCCATTTCTGCAAAAAAGGCAGTTGTAGTTTTGATAATAATTGCTTTGGCTCTGTAGAGCAGTTTGGAGAGTTTTGCCACTTGATATTAAGTCTTCTGATTCATAAATGTGGACCATCTTTCCATTTATCTAAATTATCTTCATTACTTTTAACAATGTGTAGTTTTTATAGTATAACTTCTGCAATTCATTTCCAGAATATCTATTCCTATATATTTTCTTTTTGGTACTATTATAAATGGAATTGCTTTCTTTCTTTTCTTTTTTGTATATAATTTTGTTTTTTATTTATTTGGCTGTTCTGGATCTTCATTGCTTTAGTGGCGGGGGTGGGGGCAGGCATGGAACTTCTCTCTAGTTGCGGTGCAAGGGCTTCTCCCTGTAGTGGCTTCTCTTTCCATGGAGCACAGGCTCTAGGGCACGCAGACTTCAGTGGCCGTGGCGCATGGGCTCTGGAGTTGTGGCTTCCCAGGCTCTAGAGCACCGGTCAGTAGCTGTGGTGCATAGGCCTAGTTGCTCCTCGGCATGTGGGATCTTCCCAGCCCAGGAACTGAACTCATGTCTCCTCTGGGGCTGCTTTCTTGTACACATGGTGGGGCCGTGGGAGTGACATTCCCCAAATGGGATGCAGACAGCAGAGGTAAGCACTGGTCCACCCCATCAGTAGCCGTGACGGCAGCAGTGGCGGCAATGCCGAGGAGGGAGGCTGAGTCTGGGGTTGTGGCTCGGCTCTGGGCCGCTGCCCATGTAGCTGTTTTCTGAAATTGTTTTCTTAATTCCATCTTCAGAATGTTCATTGTGAGTGAACATAGAAATATAATTAATTTGTGCATATTAATCGTGTATCCTGCAACCTTGCTAGACTCATTTATTAGATTCTAGTGGCATCCTTGGCATTTTCTATACACAAAGTCATGTCATCTGCAAATTGATTTCTTTTTTTTTTTCTTGGTTGTGCTACACAGCATCCAGGATCTCAGTTCCCTGGCCAGGGATTGAACCTGGGCCACAGCAGTGAAAGCCCAGAATTCTAACCACTAGGCCACCAGGGAACTCTTAAGGAAATCGATACTCTTTTTCATTCTTCCTCTCCAATCTGGATCCCTTTTATTTCATTTTCTTGTCTAATTTTCCCAACTAGAACCTCTGGTACAATGTTGAATAGAAGTGTTGAGAATGGAGTCCTTGTCTTGTTCGTGATCTTAGGGAGAGAACATTCAGTCTTTCACTATTATATGATGTTAGCTGTGGATTTTTGATGTATGGCCATTATCAGATTGAGGATGATCTCTTCTTAGTTTGTCTAGAATTTTAGTAATATTGTGTATTACATTGATTTTTAAATGTCAGACCAAGCTTGGATAAATCCCACTTGGTCATGTATATAATCGTTTTAATATGTTGCTTAATTTTTTATTTGCTAGTATGTTGTTGAAGACTTTTGCATCTGTATTCTTAAGACATATTGGTCTCTAATTCTCTCGTGATGTCTTTATTTTTGGTATCAGAATAATAATGGCCATACAGAATGAGTTGAGTTGATTTGAAAAGTATTCCCTCCTCTCTTTTTGGAGAAGAATTTTTAAAATATTGCTATTTATTCTTTCTTAAATGTTTCAGTCGTGTGCCGTGTTGTGCTTAGTCGCTCAGTCGTGTCCGACTCTTACGACTCCATAGACTGTAGCCCACCAGGCTCCTCTGTCCGTGGGATTCTCCAGGCAGGAATACTGGAGCGGGTTGCCAGTTCCTTCTCCAAATGTTTCAATTATTCAATCATTCAAAGGAATAAAATAATGCCATCTGCAGCAACATGGACAGACCTAGAGATTATTATGCTACATGAAGTCAGTCAGGCAGAAAAAGAGAAATATCATATGATATCGCTTATATGTGGGATCTAACAAAAGAATGATACAAAAATAAATGAAATCAATTTAAATAACAACAACAACAAAGAGTTTCGGACTTCCCTCATGGCTCAGTGGTTAAGAATCGGCCTGTAAATGCAGGGAACACAGGTTCGATCCCTCATCCAGCAAGATTCCACATGACATCTGGCAATAAGCTCATGCACCACAACTACTGAAGCCCACGGGTCCTAGAGCCTGTGCTCTGCAACAAGAGAAGCCACTGAAGTGAGGAGCCCGTGCCCTCCATGAAGGGTGGCCTGGCTCACCGCGGTCAGAGAAGGCTGGCAGGAAGCAAGGAAGACCCAGCACAGCCAAAAATAAAGAAGTTTCATAAAATTCACTCGTGAAGCTGTCTGGACTTTACCTTTTCTGCATTGGCAGGTGGATTCTTCACCACCGAAGCGCTCTAGCTTTGCTTTGTGGATAGTTTTGTTTTGTTGCTTTATTACTAATTCAATCTCTTGTTATAAGCCTATTCAGATTTTCTATTTCCTCTTAAGTCAGTTTCAATAGTTTGTGCCCTTCTAGGAATGTATCCATTTCATCTAAGTTATAAAATGTGTTGGCATTCAGTTGTTCATAGAATTCTCTTATGATCTTTTTTATTCTGTAAGGTCGATATTAATGTACCTGTGTCTCTTTTTTAAGCAGTTTGTTCAAATCAGGATCCAAACAATGCCAATACATGTCATTTGACTTACTTGTCTCTTAGATCTTTTTTAATGTGTTTATTTCCACCCTCAGTCTCATTTTTCCTTGGTACTTATTTATTGAAGAAGCCAAGTTATTTGTCCTGTAGGTTTCCCACATTCTAGATTTTTCTGATTATATTCCTGGGAGTCTCTAACGTGTTCTTCTGCCTCCTAGACACTTGTTAGTTATGTATGCTTTATTCTGACTCAGATTTGAATTTTCAGGCAAAACTACTTCACATATCCATCAGGAGTCACATCACTGCCTACAGTCTCTTCGTGAAGTTGACAGTGATTGCTGAGCACTGCCTAGATTCTTTATCACAATCGGAACTAATCCAATTGAAGGCTGACTAAGGAAGGCAAAGCAACTGGGCGACCATTGATCCAGAGTATGTGAAAACTTTTTTGAAGTTCTCTTTTGGTGATCATTACATCCTACATTATTTAGAACCTTGGAGTCAGGAGATGAGATCTACTCCCAATTCTGCCACAGACTGGCTGAGCATCCTTAGCAAATCATCTTCCCTTTTGGGCCTCAGTTTTACTATCCACTTAATGGGGACATAAACTATGGAGGACTGCTTTTAAAAGTGAACTTAACTTCTACCAAAAATCATTTGGCTGGGTTAAAAAGGATATACTTAGAATATATTATCCTTCCCCTCACAGGTTCATTTCAAAGACAGAGTTTATTGATCATTAAATCCTGTCCTGTATATAATAAAATCAGTTAAAAAAAAGCCTTGTGAGAGCAGGGAGATCATGCCAAAAGCCTTGGTTCCTGGATTCTAGCTCTGGTTGTGCTTGCTCTCAGCTGGTCATATTCTCTCTCTAGATCCTGTGCACAGAATAAAAGATTGATCTCTAGTACCAGGTGATCTCTAAAGCCCTACAACAGGAGCTCCCCTGGTGGTTCAGTGGCTAAGACTCCAAGCTCCCAGTGCAGGCGGCACGGATTCAATGCCTGGCCGGGGAACTAGATCCCACATGCTGCAACTAAAGATCCTACATTCTGTAACTAAGACCTTATGGAGCCAAATAAAATTTTTTTTTAAAGCCCTACAAGGAGCTTTATAATTTTAAATACTTTCTTGATTTTTTTCACAGTTTTAAGGATGACGTTTTAATTTACATCTTCAACTCTACCTTTTTTCCCCTCCTTTTTAAAAATTGAAGTATGAGTTGATTTACAATACCATTTCAGTTTCAGATGTACAGCATAGTGATTCAGTTATACATGTATATGTATATATTGTCAAATTCTTTTCCCTTTTAGGTTATTACAGAATGTCGAGTATAGTTCCCTGTGCTGTACAGCAGGTCCTTGTTATTTATTTTACGTATGTGTCTCGCTTCACTCAGGTCGCTTCACTCGTGTCCGACTCTTTGCAACCTTATGGACTGTGTGTAGTCCACTAGGGTCCTCTATCCATGGGGTTCTCCAGGCAAGAATACTGGAGTGGGTTGCCATTTCCTCCTCCAGGGGATTTCCTGACCCAGGGGTCGAACCCCCGTCTCTCATGCCTCCTGCATTGGCAAGCAGGTTCTTTATCATGACTGCCCCCTGGGAAGCCCTGTTTTATACTGCGTATATGTTGACTCCAGCCTCTTAATTTATCCAGCCCCCACTCTCCTTTCCCTTTTGGTAACCCTGAGTTTGTTTTCTGAGTCTCTGAGTCTCTTTCTATTTTGTATGTTCGTTCATTTGTATCCGTTTTTTAGATTCCACATATAAGCAATGTCATATAGTTTGCCTTTGCCTGGCTTAATTCATTCAGTGTGACAATCTCTACATCCATTCATGTTGCTGCAAATGGCATTATTGCATTCTTTTTTATCAGCTCTACCTGTTTTTATCTGCTTTCTGTTTATGTTTTACTTAACAACTGGTTGATGGGTGCCTAGGCATCAGCTCACGTAGGCAGTTCAGCTTGGGCCTAGAAAATGTTCTGGAAGCAAACACATCAAAATATCATTAACTGATTATGTCTGGGTGGTAAAATTATTTATCATTTTTTAAAAAACAAATGTTGGTATTCTTCATTTTATTCTATTAACATATATTTTTGTAATTTTTTATGTTATTCTTAAAGGATTTGCTAGCATATGTCTGATAGCCTGTGCTAACAAACAGAAATCACTAAACGCCAATGACTCAGTTAGTCAGTATCTTCCAGCCTAGGTTAACCTAAATACTTTGGTAATAGGTAGTTACTTCTAACAAGATAGCTTTTCTTAATCTTCTTCAGTAATCTCAGTGAAAAAGAAAACACTGTGTGCCTTCAGAAATTAAAATTCAGCAAGAACAGCAGCAATATATACTTTGCACATTGGTGTCATAGCCCCCTGAAATCTGGATTTGTGTATTGGGGGAACAGTATCTCTTTGCTACAGAAGTGCTGGGTGTTACAGAAATGTGTAGGCAAAGGCGGGGTGTGTCTTTTGCATGTGATGAAAACAGGAGATTGGAAACTAGTTTGCTTAATCATGTTGGTAGCCACTCCCTGGAGAGCAATTACACTTGTTACTTGACTTTCCGGTAAGCATCATCTACCTAAGGAGGCAATACAGGCCTACCTCTCCTGGGTCTCCTCACCTGTCCAGGTGCTCTGCTGCTGGCATGCCCCCTTAAAAGCCCACAGTAGCAGTTACTGGAGAACCGGAAGAGCAGGGGGTGCCCTCAGAGCTGTCCGCACAGACAAGCCACTCGGTCCCAAGCGCCAAGGTCACTTCACTTTTAATGGAGAGCACAGTTCTAGTCTCCAGTGTTTTCACAACTAGTGTGATTGATACACAAAAACCCACTTCTCAGTGACAGAGGCCATAGAGAAGTCAGTGTTCTTACCCCGAGAAGCTTGACAAATCCAGGTGGTTCGATGGGCAACTCTGATACAAAACAGATGATCAAGTAATCCTCTGAAGCTTCCCTGTCATCCGATGTGTCAAAATCTGGACCTGCTCAGGCTTTCTGAATGTCATTCCTCACATCTTCACAGGGACAAATGGCAAATTCCAAAACAGAACCAGACACAGAATTTTAGTTTTAGGATTTCTTTTTGAACTTCCATCTGTGGGGTCTCTCGAACAACATAGGATCGTGCCAACTTACAGATGAACTCGTGCCACTGCCTGACCTACCCATCCAAATGCAGAGAATTGTTTGGAGCGCTCACTGCCAAGTGCAGGGGCAATCTGCTTTTGTTTATGCATGCATGCGTCCTCAGTTGCTTCGGTCGTATCTGATTCTTGGCCACCCGATGGACTGTAGCCTGCTAGGCTTCTCTGTCCATGGGATTCTTCAGGCAAGAATACTGTGGTGGATTGTTCTGCCCTCCTCCAGGAGATCTTCCTGACCCAAGGATTGAACCTATGTCTCTTGCATCTCCTGCATTGCAGGCAGATTATCAGTGAGCCACAGGGGAAGTCCACTTGCATTTATACATCATCCAGTAGCCTCTCTTTAGCTTGAACCTGATGTGCCCCTGGGTAAGCATAGCTGGAAAGACACAGTTTTTACAGTCAAGGAAGTCAGTTTGGTATGGAAAACAACAATCGCTAGCCTATACAGTTACTATAATGATGGAACAGAAAGCAGGGTACTTCGCGGGTGTGGGTAGGTCAACAAAAGCTGAGGAGGAGTAAAAGAGAATGTTCCCGAGCCTAAACCAAGTAAGCAAAACATTGGAAACTTACAATTATGACATCATCGGGTTCTCAGAACTAGAATGATGATTTAGACAGGTTCCTTTTTTGGATAGGGTTTATTTATTCTCATACTTTTAAGCAACTCTAAATATTTCCATTTTAACAAGTCATTTGGAGTTTTACATAATATTTTTAAAATTGGGCACATTTTGCTAGATGGACCATCTCCACAGACACACACACACACACACACTTCACAGTCAAATAGCAAAGTGAGAAAAGACCACATTAGATAGATCAGAAGGTATAAATGAAACTGCTCTACCATATTCGCTTTGGTAAAAATAACAGACCCTTATCTTATTTGTTCATATATATTAAGGATAAAATAATTCCAACTATCTGTTGTAAGTTTCAGGTGGCATTCATGGGGAACTTTGACTTGAATGGCACAACTGTGTTCCTTCTATTCTTGTTTTTGCCACCTTAATTATACCATGCAGTACTTGGAAGAAAGGTGGAATGTGCCACTCTGCCAACTCACAGTTTAAAAAGTTAAACAGTGCCTTAAGAAATCAGCAACTTTTAAAATTATTTGTAAGGTTTTTATTGGTATTTCCTACTTAGTCTTACTTATTTAGAGTTTCCTATACTTGGATGAAATTCTCTTGCCTTCAGGGACCTGCAGTAACTCAGGTCCTTTCTCTTCTTTTCAAATAATCTACTTATATTCATGTCATATTTTTGTTTTCCTTATTACTTCATCTAATTTTTTTTTTTTTGGCCATGTCCCACAGCTTGCAGGATCTTAATCCCCTGACCAAGGACTGAACCCAGCCCCTAGCTGTGAAAGTGTTGTGTCCTAACCACTGGATCACGGGGGATTTAGCTTGCTTCATCTAATTTTTAAATAAGTGATAGTATACATAATACTAGTCTGTTCACTGTCGCTAACTGCCACTAATCCTCGAATGTATTTTTATTTTTCAGATTCTCTGAATTTGCCTTTGTCTGGCAAGATGTAGCTCCCTACCGTCCCTAGCATCTCCTCCTCCGTGAGTTTGTCTGCACGGCCTTTCTCCACAACATGCACCACGCTGCACCCTCACTTTGGGTCATCCGGGGTCAGGCATCCTCCCTGCTCTCCACTAGGTGACAGGTAAACGCCTCCTGCCCATCTCACTTCTTCTGGATTCAAACACCACGTGAATTCAACTGATCTCAGTTGCTTTCAACCTGTAATTCTTGATGGCAGCAGGTTGCTGCCAACTCTTGAAACTAACAGGTCTGACTAGAAGCTGACAGTTCCATGAACATAATATTTTACGTTTATAACAGTCAAAGACAGGATGATACCTTTCTTAACAATGGTTCCTCTTGGTCCGTTGATAACACAGTATCTCAGTTTAAACATAAAGTGTGTGTACTGTACCTCAGAATATAAATTAGATTCCTCTTAGGGCCAAACAGGAAAGAAGCAGAAAATTTTTACTGCAAAGAGACTACCAACCACGTCAGGGGATTTACCAGAAAATTGCTGGTGTATAAGTTACAGAAACAATGCTACTCCAAACCTAGGTGAACAGCCAAGACGTTTGTCTTGTGGCAGGCAGAGTAACTTTTTTCCTCTTTGTACTTTCAGCTTGGATATATGAAAAATACAGCATTCCCTAAATGTTGTCAAGAGATTGGCGAGCACCAGTATTTATCCAACCGGCCTGGCGGAAATGACAGAAGAGGGAAATTTCAGAGCCAAGGCAGTTTTTGACAGTGCTTCAGATTCTGCCTTAGACTCATGGAAAGTTGGTACTCAAGAAGGTACCTTAGGGATAATTTAATCCACCACCCCTCTTTGACTGTGAGAAAACTGAAGCCAAAGCAGTGAAGAGATTCACGTTAGGTCTTGCACAGATGGGTAGACAGAGATTCAGAACCAGGACTGGATGATCCTGACTCTGTTTCAGTCATGTTAAAGCTGGCCAACAGGTACATTTGACAACCCACACTCTGAACTGATGTTCATAAAGGTATCCTATATCCAGCACATTAATGCCCATTTCTCTGAGAATTAGGCAAACAAGTTGGAAAATTTTGAGTGGAAGACAGTGGCTGTAAAAGTGGGGAGAAATTCCTGTATAGACTTGCTCACTGGAAGCAAGTCCTTGGCTTCCCCAAGACAAAGGACAGTATTAGTCACAAGGTTAAAGTTAAAAACTGGTGGTGCCTCCTGGCTGAGGGCAGACATCCTTCTGGGAAAGCTGTAGGCTAAAATGAATATCCACTGGAAGGGCTGATGGCTAAAGCTGAAGCTCCAGTATTTTGGTCACCTGATGCAAATAGACAACTCGTTGGAAAAGTCCCTGATGATGGGAAAGATTGAGGGCAGAAAGAAAAGAGGGTGTCAGAGGATGAGGTGGCTGGACGGCATCACCGATGCAGTGAACATGAACTTGGGCAAATTACGGGAGATGGTGAGAGACAGGGAAGCCTGCCACGCTTCAGTCCATGGGGTCTCAAAGAGTTGGAGACAACTGGGTGATTGAACAACAACAGCGACAGGCTGAAATGAGAATGGAATAAAGGAGCCGGTGGAAAATTTAATTTGGGGCTGCCTCACAACACTGAGAGTTACTGTATTTTGGTCTGCTGGCTTTGAGTGAAGCATTTCAGGCAGACAAAAAAGAAGAGAAACAATGATGAACTCTGTGTAGCCCCACCTGACCCCACTTCCTTCTACAGAATTTGGTGCCTATATTTCCAAACCTGTTCTTGTGTTTATGCATACATTTATTAATGTATCTGTAAGTGATAGTATTTTAAAAATTTGCTCATATTTTAAGTTTTGTATAAATGCTATCATATCGTATAAATCTTTCTGCAACTTAGTCTAACTTTTTTTTTCCCACTCAGTAGTGTATTTTTGAGATTTTTTTTCCTGCGGATACAGAGGATAGCTTCAGGTCATTTATTTCTCTATTTTTTAAAAAGTCAACATTAGCATCCCTTTTTAAAAACTCTATTTATTTGGCTGCATTGGGTTTTCCTTGTGTCATGCCAGATCTTTCCTTGCGGCACGTAGATTCTCTGATTATGGTTCATGGGCTCAGTAGTTGTGGCACACAGGTTTAGTTGTTCTGCAGAATATGGGATCTTAGTTCCCCAACCAGGGATTGAACCTCCATCCCCTGCATTGTAAGGCAGATTCTTAAACATTGGACCACCAGAAAAGTCACCAGCGTTCCTTTATTTTTTAATTTATTTTTAGCCATGCTGCACGACATGTGGAATCTAAGTGTTCCCACTAGGGATGAACCTGGGCCCTCAGCAGTGAGATCACAAGTTCCTAACTACTGGACCATCAGGCAATTCCCCTAGATCATCTATTTAACTACTCTGTGGTTTTCCATTGTATGAAAGTTTTCCCATTTATCTAATCTCTTATTAAAAAACAACGAGTGACTTTGGGGGCTTCCCTGGTAGCTCAGCTGGTAAAGAATCATCCGGCAATGCAAGAGACCCTGGTTCGATTTCACGGGTCAGGAAGATTCCCTGGAGAAGGGATAGGTTCAGTTCAGTTCAGTCGCTCTGTCATGTCTGACTCTTTGCAATCCCATGGACTACAGCACGCCAGGCTTCCCTGTCCATCACCAACTCCTGGAGCTTGCTCAAACTCATGTTCATCAAGTTGGTGATGCCATCTAAACATTTCATCCTCTGTGGTCCCCGTCTCCTCCTGCTTTCAGTCTTTCCCAGCATCAGGGTCTTTTCTAATGAGTCAGTTCTTCGCATCAGGTGGCCAAAGTATTAGAGTTTCAGCTTCAGCATCAGTCCTTCCAGTGAATATTCAGGACTGGTTTCCTTTAGGATTGACTGATTGGATCTCTTTGCAATCCAAGGGACTCTCAAGAGTCTTCTCCAACACCACAGTTCAAAATCATCAGTTTTTTGGCACTCAGTTTTCTTTACAGTCCAACTCTCACATCCATACATGACCACTGGAAAAACCATAGCTTTGACTAGACGGGCCTTTGTGGGCAAAGTAATGTCTCTGCTTTTTAATATGCTGTCTAGGTTGGTCATAGCTTTTCTTCCAAGGAGTAAGTGTCTTTTAATTTCATGGCTGCAGTCACCATCTGCAGTGATTTTGGAGCCCAAAACAATAAAGTCTGTCACTGTTACCACTGTTTCCCTATCTATTTGCCATGAAGTGATGGGACAAGATGTCATGATCTTAGTTTTTTGGATGTTGAGTTTTAAGCCAACTTTTTCACTCTCCTCTTTCACTTTCATCAAGAGGCTCTTTAGTTCTTTGCTTTCTGCCATAAGGGTGGTGTCATCTGCATATCTGAGGTTATTGATATATCTCTTGGTAATCTTGATTCCAGCTTGTGCTTCATCCAGCCCAGCGTTTCTCATGATGTACTCTGCATATAAGTAAATAAACAGGGTGACAGTATACAGACTCGATGTACGCCTTTCCCGATTTGGAACCAGTCCTCTGTTCCACGACCGGTTCTAGCTGTTGCTTCTTGACCTATCCACTCCAGTATTCCTGGGCTTCCCTCGTGGCTCAGGTGGTAAAGAATGTGGTAAAGAATGCCTGCAATGTGGGAGACCTGGTTTGGATCCCTGAGTTGGGGAGATCCCCTGGAGGAGGGCTTGGCAACCCAGTCCAGTATTCTTGCCTGTAGCATCCCCATGGACAGAGGAGCCTGGTGGGCTACAGTCCACGGGGTCACAAAGTGTCAGAAATGACTGAGCACCTAAGCACAGCACAGCGCAGTGAGTTTTGAAGGGTTTCATTTTGTTTGTGGTTGTTGTTTAACCTCACTACTAGAAACATCTTTATAAAACTCCCTTCTGATCCCTGAGTGCAAGTTTCCTAGTGATGTTTACAAAGCATTAGTGTGTGCACATCCTCAGCTTGACAAGAAAAGCTCAAAAATAACCAGCAGAATATCAGCATGTCCAACACCAGCACTGTAAATTTTCACTAATCACTATTTTTTTTTTACTGATCTGAAGAATGTAAATGATATTTCTTCATGGTGTTAATTTGCAATCCCCTGGTTCCTCATACAATTGAGTATCTTTTTATGTGGCCACTGGAGATCTGGATTTCCTTTTCTGCCTGGACTACTTTTTCAGATGTGCTACTTGTCTTTTTATTATTGATGTTTAGAAATTTTTTGTAGGTATCAGTCCTTCATTAATCATATACAGCCAGTATCTTCTCCCTGTCTGGAACTTGATTGATTTTTTCTCATTTTGGTAACAGTGTTTTTCCTGATCAGATCATTTAATCTTTTCCTTTGTTAAATGCTTATTGTTTCTTTTTTAATTTATTTTGTTTTGTGGGTTTTTTTTTTTGCCACACCATGTGGCATGTGGGATCTTAGCTCCCCGACCGAAGATCGAACCCACGCCCTCTGCAGTGAAGCACAATCTTAAACACTGGGCCACGGGGGAAATTTTGTTTCTGTTTGTTTTTAAAAAACAAAACAAAACAGACTTTCCTTGATTTAGTGTCATAAAGATATTCTCCAGTATTTCCCTCTAGCTTTTGTAAGCTTTGCTTTTTACAAGCTTTGTACGTAGAATTTACTTGTGTGGGCAGTGAGAACCGAACCTAATTTTTTTTTCCAAATAGACAATCAGTTGCTTGTAACCTTTTCTTGAAAGTGCCACCCTTTTCCCAAAGGAGGGCCATGTCACTTTTGACACATATTCTAGTTTCTCTACTGGTTCTATGTGGTGATTCCTCCTTCCCTGTGCCTTCGTGCACCACAATTGGTATTTGTTATAGTAAGGTATAAGATCCAGAAAGTCAGCCTCTATCTGTCACCTTAACAGAGTGGGAGCTAAATGTATGTGAGGTATCACTCTTGAATCCTACCCAAATGGATGCACAGTGAACAGAAGAGAACCCTGAAAGAAGGTATGAGGGATGCCGTTAGAGGCTGAGTCGGAGCGAGGTTGGAACCCTTAAACTGGAGATCAGTACCCACACCAAGGAGCGTGCTCTGCGGAGACCTGCAGCTTCTTCAAGGAGCTCTCGCGTGTCCCACAAGAGGTCCAGGCCTTGGACGCCTGCCTGTGCGACCTCTGTCTTCAGCAGCGCCACTGAGCAAAGCAGCGTTGATCAGGACAGGGTTCCGACTCATCCCAGGGGAGCAGAAAGACGTTTACTGTGAAACTGAAGAAAGCAATTCCACTTTTTCTTTTTTCTGCCAGCCTCAGGAGTTGCAGAATCTCAGTTCCCTGACATATTTAACTTATATACAGGGTACATCATGAGAAACGCTGGGCTGGATGAAGCACAAGCTGGAATCAAGACTGCTGGGAGAAATATCAATAACCTCAGATATGCAGATGACACCACCCTTATGGCAGAAAAAAAGGAAATCAGTCCTGAATATTCATTGGAAGGACTGATGCTGAAGCTGAAACTCCAATACTTTGGCCACCTGATGCAAAGAACTACTCATTTGAAAATACCCTGATGCTGGGAAAGATTGAAGTCAGGAGAAGGGAATGACAGAGGATGAAATGGTCGGATGGCACCACCAACTCAATGGACATGAGTTTGAATAAATTTCAGGAGTTGGTGATGGACAGGGAGGCCTGGTGTGCTGCAGTCCATGGGGTCACAAAGAATCAGACACGACTGAGCGACTGAACTGAACTAATCTGAGTTACCTGACTAGGGATCAAACCCACACCCCCTGCAGGGAAACTCCAAGTACCACTGGACCACTAGGGAAGTCCCAACAATTCACTTCTAATAGCATCAAGGTGAAGAATGAAATAGATTTAGGAATAGATTTAACAAAAGAAGTAGAAAATCTGTACAATAAACGTTGTTTAAAGAAATTAAGGGAGACTTAGATGGAAAGACATCATGTATTCATGGACCAAAAGTCTTCCTATTGTTAAAAGATTCTCCAAACTCATCCACAGATTCAACGCCTCATGAGTGAAGGCCACAGCCAAGGCTTGCCTTGCCCAGCAGGACAGCTCCCAGATGGCAGACTGGGTCAGAGAGACAGTAAGAGCTGGAAGGTATCGGGCAGGCAGCCAGGGACAGGCAGTGGGCACATACAGGAGGGTGAATTGGGAGGTCACTGCGGGGGGAGCATCAGGAGGCTGGTGGGAGGAGACACGCTCTCACTGCCCCCTCCTCTGGAATGTGTGGGTTTTAAAACTTGGTATTAATTTCCTTTCCAAAAGCCCTATTAAAAATAGACCAAGGAATGGATTTTTTTCAGTTTGGTATATCCGTACCATGAAATATCATTCAGCCTTAAAAGGGGAGGGAAATCCTTAACACCG